GACTTGTCTCTTAAACTAGGTGATTCCCCACGTTATATGCGGTTAAATATGTTTTAGAAATCATTTAAATTAAAAAGTATTATTTCGTGGTTAAAAATGGCTAATGATATTTAATTTGGATTTAAGTTCAATTTTCTTTATATGAAAGAATGTTATTTTTGATTTTTTTCACTAATTCTAATTTCATTAATAACATTGACAATATGTTCATTTACAATTTTATTTTAATAACCACATAAGATTTTGTCTTTTTTAAACATTTCTTCATTTCTATTGATGTTGTAGTGTCAATTTTGTCGTTAACATATTGCACTAAACTACTATTACTGTGTGTGCAAATTTTTTTATAGCTTAAAAATTTGACAAAAATGACATATTATGATCAATTGTGTTCAATATCTATTTGGTTAAACTCGTCTGAATTATTCTATTTGTGTGTAAAAATATCTAAAATGAAATTATATGGTTTGATTTTAGTTTTTGTTTGCATTTTAATCAAAATATCCTTTATTGGAATAGGTCTTAAATCAGTATTGTTTTTTGTTATATTCAATACTGAATTTAGACATTTAGATTAAACATTATTATTTTTAATTTTATGTAAGTTATAAAAATATTCACACTGATATTTTATTATTTGCTTATAAATTTATATATAAAATATGAAATTTACTATAAAAATATAATTTATTCAGAACAAAAGTTTAAGGAGTACTTATTTGTTAAATTAATATGTACAACTCATATTTATTTAAATTGTATCATAGATATAAATTATGTTAAATTTGGCTTATCCGAATATCATTAGTAGAATTCAGAATATAAATAAATTATTTAATATTTTAAAACGTTAAAATATATAATCATAAATTTTGATAAATGAAACACGGATCAAAATTTTGTTTTGTTACTTTCGAATGAGATGTGATTTTTGTTACTTTCAAAATTGTCTTGTGTTAAAAAAACCTTTCAAAAGAATAATTATGTTTGTTGTTATAAATTTGGGAAGTTGTTTTCACAAAACATATAAAAAAATCTTTTAAAACTTTGGTAACTCTTTATTATTAATTGAGAAAAGA